TTTTAAAGAATCTGGTTGTTTCTGTAAGTTATAGGTCTGTTCCAAATAATGGGGTTGTGATCCTGAAGCTAATGTTGGTTACTATCAAGTGTCACTTTCATACTTGCTGTGGTTTGTTGGTATGTATTGACAAAAGGTCATGTTGCACAAACAATTTGGTCTGACTAACTAATTGAATGAATATTTGCTGTAAAATTCTTATCAATGCTATAAGTGTAACTACCAGTTTGGCTGCCAATTTTGATTTCCTTCCTTTAAGTCACATGCTCGGTCCTTTTTTGGCTGCACCTTTTTTCACACCTAAGGTGTTTTTGCTTAGATTGTTTATACTCCACAGTATGTCTTCATTGGCTAAAAAAATTTGCTCTAAAGTTAAAATAATTAGCAGCAATCTAGATATTATAGTAATTAGTAGTTTTCAGTAATGAACAATGTATTCAAGTCACAGCAACTACTAACTAAAAGTCATGCAACGCTGGGAGCATGCATACTGGAGTTTCTCAAAGGATCGTGAATTATCGGGGAAGACCGAGTTTGTTCAGGATGCCCTCTGTTTTAGTATATAAGCCTGGCGAGAAAAACCAGCGGAATCGGAGAGATAGATAATTGAGTCAAGCGAACAGTAGACACCGTAAGTAAAGTGTGTGAAACACTGTGATTTCTAGCATGTGTTATAAAAGTTTGTATCAAGGAAGAATAAACTGGGTTAATCAAGAAAGGACTTGTATCGCTGAAGTTTCTCCGAAAGAATTTATACCCAAAATTAACAAACAAGCAGATACGTAACAATATAGTTGATATTTGCTCCTCAGATTTAAACCTGTTTAATTTAAAATTATTACCTTGCATAACCTTCCACTCCAATTCTTGTAACATTGAATTGCACAAAAAAAAAAGAATCTTATTAGTTTCATGCTGGTTAGATTTTGTAACGACAGTGGTGCCCGTAGGGCTAGTCTTTATGGTTTCGACTATACTGCCGATTGCAGTGGCAAGTGGAGCACGAGTCACTAACTCAAGGTAATTTACAGTTATAATAAAGAAATGGATTCTAAGACTAACATTGAACAAAATACATCAACATTTATTAGGTATTTCCACATACGTATACACTTTTAACATCAATAGTTAAACAATCACTAAACCATTAGTTTCTTACAATTCTACTTTTCACTTTTCAGTTAAAAATATTTCAACACGGAGTCAGTAAATTTGACAGATTCACGTGACCTTTTGTACTCTTTAAAGTCTTTATATATTAAATACTTATAACTCTCAATATATTGGGTATATCTTCACGAAATGTAGCAGTCCTACAATTAATATTACAAGTCTTTCACATACAAAAAGTAATATTTCTTAGTGAAGTATTTTTAATAAAATATAATAAAGATTTGTCCATGAATATATCGAGTACTTGTTTTGAAGTAATTTTCATGCTGAAATTACATTACCCATTAGATGCTCGCAGTGCGTGCCTCGTGAACCATATTATTTATATTATTATTATTATTACTTATTTTACTTAATTTAGTCTTAAATAACTGAAAAAGATCCGTATTTTTAGCTTTTACTTACTTTTATGATAATAGATAAAG